GCTACCGTGGTGAGCATAGCCCGCACGGTAGGTATCATCTTCTAGCTCCATACGGTATGCAGCCACACTCAACACTCAGTACTGTTCGTCCATGGCAACCCCGCCAGCCTGCTTCCCCGTTGGCACCAGCGTCCATCAGCCTTGTGAAGAGATCCAAGTTTCCTTGGTCACTGCTCTTCGCTCCCATTTTCGACGAGTTTGAAGATCTCGATCTCGCAGCCGTCCACACGTGAGCGCTCTCCTTTGGCGCCTTTCGGTATATGCCGGGGAGGGGTTGAGATTGATAATGTTGCCAAACCACCTAAGCTCTGAAAATTCAGTTGTGGGTTGCTGTCGGTGTGTAGATGCGATATTCGGTCTCAGATTTTAATCCGGGGTCGGGAAGGTGGGTTTCCAGCGAAACTTGGTGATTTGTCTTACTCAATGTACAGGGAAACGCAAATCAGGGAAAACGAACTTTCTGCCCCCCCGCCGGGGACAAAACGGGGATTTGCCCATATCTTGCCCATTCTAAGCGATTTTTTGACCGCTGTTCCGGAAGAACAAACCCTACAACTTTTGCAAACTTAACTGGCCACTTTCGACCAAGGGAAACGAGCTTTATGTCCCCCCCCGGGGACAAAACGGGGATTTCCCCTTATCTTGCCCATTTTATGCGCTTGTCAGACCACTGTTCCGGTAGGACAAACNGAAACTTGGTGATTTGTCTTACTCAATGTACAGGGAAACGCAAATCAGGGAAAACGAACTTTCTGCCCCCCCGCCGGGGACAAAACGGGGATTTGCCCATATCTTGCCCATTCTAAGCGATTTTTTGACCGCTGTTCCGGAAGAACAAACCCTACAACTTTTGCAAACTTAACTGGCCACTTTCGACCAAGGGAAACGAGCTTTATGTCCCCCCCCGGGGACAAAACGGGGATTTCCCCTTATCTTGCCCATTTTATGCGCTTGTCAGACCACTGTTCCGGTAGGACAAACCCTACAGTTTTTGCACACTTAACTGGCGACTTCCCACCAGGGGACACGAAATTTGTGTCCCCCCCGGGGACAAAACGGGGATTTCCCCTTATCTTGCTCATTTTATGCGCTTGTCAGACCACTGTTCCGGTAGAACAAACCCTACAGTTTTTGCACACCTAACTGGCGACTTCCCACCAGGGGACACGAAATTTGTGTGTCCCCCGTGGACAAAACGGGGATTTCTCCATATCATGCCCATTTTATGCGCTGTTCAGACCGCTGTTCCGGTAGAACAAACCCTACAGTTTTTGCACACCTAACTGGCGACTTCCCACCAGGGGACACGAAATTTGTGTGTCCCCCGTGGACAAAACGGGGATTTCTCCATATCATGCCCATTTTATGCGCTGTTCAGACCGCTGTTCCGGTAGAACAAACCCTACAGTTTTTGCACACTTTACTGACCACTTACCACCAGGGTACACGAAATTTGTGTCCCCCCCGGGACAAAACGGGGTACCAAGAGTACAGGGTAGCGCAAAATACTTGCAAACGTTTCCTTCGACACCACACCAGAAAAAGAAAGAAGAACAACAAACGTCGACGAGTTCCATTCTTGTGGTTGGCAGCCAACACATCCATCCATCCCTGGCCCACCTCCGGGAACCTCTTCTTCGCGATACGTACGCGACCTCTTGAGCTTACGTAAGTCAACCGGGTAGAGAGAGATCGGAACGGTTTTTAATGTGAAGCCAACAACAACAACAACATACAAATGATGTCGATGCATAAAATGATACACTTTGCCTTTACTTACTTCTGGTCCGCACTGCGTATAAACAAATGGGAAAGGTAGCTATACCTTCTGCCGACACAACGGGCGAGAGAGGCGACGATGCCCACTGCATTTAACACACACCCACATGTCATCATTGATGAAACCCCAACCACACGCCTCTATCCGCGGCCACGTCAGGAGGCAATGATGAGATAATGTTCTCCCGTGCCCTCCTCACATTGAACGACATGCCATTACACAACAAGGTATATATATATGCCCTAAATATGTTCTCCCGCGCCGCACATGCCCCCATACATCACAAACAAAAAATAAGTTGATGACGAAACTATACACAACCCGAGACGCGCTTGCTCCGCAAACACATAAGGGTGCTATAATAGAACACCCGACAAACCGAGTTCCCCTAAATCTTCCGTCTACAACTTCCCAACATAACATACAGATAGATACACAAGATGGCTACCAAACTGCCTTGTTGAGCCTGTTACCCACAGGGAAGTTATCGTTGTACGCTATCTGGGAAACCGTAGACATACAGGTAGCCTTTCGCTCACGCTATGGATTCATTGCTAATCTATCGTTGACGTATTCCTATAGATGAGATGGATTTGTTGTGTGATATTAAGAAAAATATAAGAAAGGAAAGAAAAGGAGAGTGGCTTCCAATCTGAGAATCGAACTCGGGTTTCCACAGCAAGTAAGAAACGAAAAAAAAAAAAACAATATCAATAACGGAGACGCATGTATCGGAGTCAACCTACCTGGTACGATTGTACAACATCATCACCTAACTCCGCCTGTTTATCGTACAACGCGTGTCAAAAAACACGGAGTCTTCAGACGGAGTGATGATACATGTAACGAGTTAACCTACATGGTACAACATCGTCACTCGGCCTGATCGTCGTACAACGCGTGTTAAAAAACACAACGCGTGTTAAAAAAAACGGCCTGATCGTCGTACAACGCGTGCTAATAAACACAAACACGTGTGTTAATAAGCACGGGAGGGAGTCTTCAGACGGAGTAATGATAGATGTAACGAATTAACCAACCTACATGGTACAACATCATCACTCGCCCTGATCGTCGTACAACGCGTGTTAAAAAACACAAAAAGAGTTGAGACGGGTATCTGCAAGCGTATAGATGAAAAGAACTTCGTGGTGGAGAGATAATAAATGGTCTTAGCATCGGTTGGGAGATGGACAACCTGTGAAAATGGAATGTGAAAGTCATACTGAATTATGTATCGTCAGAACTAACTGTGCGACATGGTTAATGAAATATCTGATGCAAACTCAACAACGCGGAATTCAACGCCAACATTACACATTCTAACGTTTACCAGATTCTAACCTGTCAACGAAAATATTGTGCCTACCATATCGCGACGAAAACTAATGAAAAATAAGGCACATTGTAGTATGTAGCGATGCAAAGATGTGTGGGCAACCGCATATTTGACCATCAAAACTGCAAGGGGGAACACTGAAAATGAAACATGTCCCTTGCAAGTAGAGTGAGAAACTCATGACCGACTTCCTCGCCAAAATTCCCATGCATCCAGGTGACAATGGCAAAAACTGGAAATGCCGAACTGCCGCCAAATTCCGCCGAACCAGAATTCTACCCTTCAAAGAGTCAGCCAAGTATGCACATGAAGGAGCGCACACGCAGCCATTCGTCTGAGCTACTCCCCCACCTCTCCTGGTTTTCGGAGCTAGCCGGCAATTCGGATCCAGCCGTTGTACCATACGTAATCATCTCCGTTAGGATTTGAGGAGGATGGATTCTAAAGCTGTAGAGAAGCACTGCGCCTGTTCGCTCCTTCCTACTGCTGCTTGAGACTGACTTGGGCCCTCCGAAACTCCGACAGGTACGAACAAACTCCTTCGTGCGTGGTCGAAGATGGACTGCGTCTTTGCACAAGCCCAACATGCCACCATGCACAACATACTGCTGCTGCCGTTCACCTGTTGCCGCCCTTCCACGTCTACCTTTCCATGAGACATGCTGCCACTTGATGCGACAACATCTGGGAACAACACGGACACAGGGAGTGCTCCCCCTACCCATACACCGTCAACACTGCTTAGAATATTAGCTAGAACAACCTCTCATTCCTCTCTTTCCACATACATACTTTTCTTCTCTTTTTCTTTTTCTCTTTTTCTCTCTTTTTCTGTGCCAGATGGCCTGGTCCCTGCTTGCGTTGTGAGGTACCACAATGGAACCAAGGGGGTGTACCTCATTCTCTTCGGCCCGTGATGGTGACTCCTAGTCTCAGTTGTTACCTCGCATAGCGCGCAGAGGGATTGGAGGACTCCAGAATATCTGTCGTTGATTTCTATTGACTTGCGGACCCCTCGGGGCAATTTTATTTGAGTGTACCTTTTTCGGGTAAGTTAGCCTGCGACCACGGGAATCGACCGCGTCGAGTGTTGTATCAGTACGGACATACGAAGGTACTGGGTAGAGAGAGATCGGAACGGTTTATAATGTGAAGACAAAACAACAACAACAACAACAACAACAACAACAACAACAACAACAACAACACACAAATGATGTAGATGCATGAAATGATACACTCTTTTTACGGTCCGCGCTGCCTAGGAATTAATGGGAAAGGTAGCTATTCCTTCTGCCGACACACGGGCGAGAGAGGCGACTATACCCACTGCATTAAACACACACCCACATGTCAGTGATGAAACCCCAACCACACGCCTCTATCGGCGGCCACGTCAGGAGGCAATGATGAGATAATGTTCTTCCGTGCCCTTCTCACATTGAACGACATGCCATTACACAACAAGGCAAATATGTTCTCCCGCGCCGCACATGCCCCCATACGTCACACACAGCAAATAAGTTGATGACGAAAATATACACACCCCGAGACGCGCTTGCTCCGCAAACACATAAGGGTGCTATAATAGAACACCCGACAAACCGAGTTCCCCTAAATCTTCCGTCTACAACTTCCCAACATAACATACACACAGATAGATACACAAAATGGCTACCAAACTGTCTTGTTGAGCCTGTTACCCACAGGGGAGATATCGTCGTATGCTGTCTGGGAAACCGTAGTCTAGACATACAAGTAGCCTTTCGCTTACGCTATGGGTTCATTACTATAATAATCTATTTACTTAGCCGTGGAAAGCTTTGGCCGCCTTGGAGAGGAGGGTTACGAGTTCATCGATGAACTTGCGACACATGCCGTGGGAGGAAGGGACGGAGGAACGATGGCTCTGAAAGGAGTCTTCAAGGAACGACTTCTTCAGATCGTTTCGGTGGCTACACAGGTGGCCATATCTCGGCGAGTGCAGAGGTACAAGCTCGCATTGCGCGGGCGTCAAGACGCCGAAAACAGGCGAACAAGATCGACCTCGGACCAGTCAACGCCAATGATATGGGGATGGAGTGTAGACGCATCGTAGAACGCGTTTTCGTTTGAAGTTGGCGTCTTGTTTGAGAGTAGATGTGACAGATTTGCGTAGAATAGGGTAAGATGTTATCATGAACGGAGAAGAAAGGGCTTTTCCAACACGGAGATGTAGCATGGATCAAAGCATTTGTTGGATTTCAGCTTTTACAAGAGGACATGAACGCAGTAGTATTTTAGCAAGCTTATGAACGCATAAAGGATACAGCAGTTCCACCGGTTGTCCCCCGATTTTGGGGCAGGGTAATTAAACAAAGAGGGAGCCCAAACGATTTGGGCGACAAACAAATATGCGTTGGAAAGCTCTAGCTAGCAGCGTTCGAATAAGCCACTAAACAGCGGTTGGTTCCTTCTCAATAACAAGCTATGGGCCTATTACCATCGTCGCGGGGGACACTTCACCTTACAAAATCCACGATNGCGGGGTAATTAAAAAAAGAGGGAGCCCAAACGATTTGGGCGACAAACAAATATGCGTTGGAAAGCTCTAGCCAGCAGCGTTCGAATAAGCCACTAAACAGCGGTTGGTTCCTTCTCAATAACAAGTTATGGGCCTATTACCATCGTTGCGGGGGACACTTCACCTTACAAAATCCACGATTTCTCGACAACCACGGCGAACCAACCGAAAAAAATTGCAGAATAATGAAGGTCTCTTCCTGTTTTATTTTGTTGAATTGGTTCCGTTTCCGAACCTTTTTGGGCTCACCGCAAAAAAAAATGCGCCGCCAATTTTTCAAAATGCTAATCTGTCTTTGACTCTTTTCTCTGACGGAGATGGACTCGTTGTGTTGTATTTGGAAAAATAAAAAAATCGTCGCACATCACACCAACGGCCGCGCTCACGCGCTGCACCAAAGACTTCGTGGTTCACGCCCGATGTCTTTTCAGCTACGCCCTAAGCCGCTGGAGAGCATCAGGGCAGGCTTGGCTCAACGCGGTGGTGAGCTTCTCAGTGTAAAGCAAGTCAAGGGTGCCAAACAGTATCGGTTGGAGGTGACAACGGACCTGGGCGGAGTTACCACGCGTTGGCGCACCGACTGCATCAAGTATCCGAAGTCCAACAAGAAGGCCCGTGACTGGGCGGCCGAAGCGGCCCTCGCTGCTGTCTGGCGGCCATCTCATTGTGACCGCTATGCCACACTCTCGAAAGACACGAGCAAAGTCGAACCGGCGCCTCCAAGAACCAAACGGCCACGAGACTGCTGTCAGCAAGATCTTTCTTGCGGGCGCGACCACTGCCACACATCACCTGCAAAGCGTGCTGCAACTGCAACTTGAGCCTAGACATCGTTCAAAATTTCTGCCGGAAGGTGGCCAACTTCCACGCGGTGTACGACGCAGGGCTTACGGACGCCGAGGCGGTAGATGCGCAAGAGAAATGCAAGTCGCACCGTATGCCGGCTCCATCCGAATACATTAACCCCAAGTAACGTATGTATGCTAAGAGTCGGTACGTTGTGTATGTATGGGGTTCGAAAGAATGACCTCAAATTTTGCTTCTGTCGGTGTCGGTTGTCCACGAAGTTTGTTGTCCGTTTTTTTTTCGACCGGCTGCGTTTCCCTCCCTGTCGATACGATCGGTAGTATTGGGCAGGCGATGTGCTGTATGTAGAATACTAGTATTTTGGCAATCGTAAAACGTAGTGCGAGGGAGTGTTATCGAGTGTAAATACAGGGTTTTCCCAACGATGAAGCGAAAACAACGAAATGTCAAGCGTTGAACGATAACAGAAAAGTCTGGCGACCAGAAAAGGGGGTACAATCTCTTGTGCCCACCTTCAAATGTGTATATCTACTTGTTATTTATTTATTTTTTTTTGAGGGCGCCATCGCGTTCGCCTGCTCAAACCCCGCCGATATCAACCAAGAAGAACAAAAAAAACCCGGCATGATTACGATGATAGTGAGTGGTTATCGAGATATTGGACGAAAAGTTTCATCCCCTCCCTCCCAAAAACGCCTGGAAAAACCTACACGAAAACCACGAATTCCCAGAAACGTCTCAAACCGATTTGGTCCCTGAACAACTCTTGTGGCATTTGTGATGGAGATCAATACTAAAAAAAAAAAACTTATTGATGAAGTTATGGCCGGTCAATTGAAATCGGCGGGACAACCGGTGGAACTGTACCATGAGGATTGTCATTGGTTTGATTTCAAGTTGAAGAGGAGATATTTTTACGATGTAAGTGACAGCAGTAGAAATAAGTCCTACATATGTTGTTGTACCTCGTATTGGTCGAATATTCATGTAGAGCATGAGACATTAAGTGAAAAAATATATATAAAATAAATAAATCTATCTTAGACTTATTTCTAAAGATAGAGATGGATTTATTTATTTATTTTTGCCTTCCGACAATTGCAGATGTACCTCAGAAAACTTTCACTTAATGTATCATACTCTACATGAATATTAAACCAATACGAAGTACAACAACATATGTAGGACTTATTTCTACTGTCATTTACATCGTAAAAGTATCTCCCCTTCAACTTGAAATAAAACCAATGACAATCCTGATGGTATCCTATATGCGTTCGTAAGCTTGCTAAAATACTACTGCGTTGATGTCCTCTTGTAAAAGCTGAAATCCAACAAATGCTTTGATCCATGCTACATCTCCGTGTTGGAAAAGCCCTTTCATCTCCGTTCATGATAACATCTTTGTTGTGCGATATTGAGAAAAAAAAAAAACACGCGGCGTCTTCAGACAGACGGAGCAATGAATGAATGATAGATGTGGTCAATACTAACTAAGTATAGTCTAGGAAAGCACGTACGAGCAAACGGACGGGTGTACACGCAAACCACAGCAGACGGACGGCGTACGGGCATCGAGAGAGAGCAAACGGGAACACCTGGCCTGGGAGACTGCGACGCACAACACACACAAACAACTGCTGGCTGCCCCGTCTTTCCATGCGATCACGCTCAGCCTCTTTTCGCTCTTCTTTTCATCAACCGTTGGCTTTTTCGAGTAGGCGGCAACGGTAAAGACGGGTGAGGCGAGCAGTGTGTGTGTTCGAGTACTTCCCACCTATCTATGGCCGTCCCATGGAGAAAGCGTACAGCTGGGGCCGAATTAGAATCACAAGCAGGCAACCCGGGAACTTGCACCCCGGTGATGCGCAATCAATGCGTGCAATGAGCGTATGAGGCAACCGCACGGTGACGCACCATGTATGTATGCCAGCCCGCCAAAATCGCTGGTGGTATGGCCTAATCGTACACTACTGGGACAAAGCAGCGTACACTCACAAGCGAGTGCTTGATCACACGCCGAGACACACATCGCGCGCGTGCTCACACGCAAGGAAGCATGGCTGGGGGATGTGCAATGGATTTTGAAAACAGGAATTCATGGAACGGCCACAGCGGCCGTGATTTTGTAAGGGAATGAATGCAGCGAAGCAGCAGAGCGGCAAAGAAAGGGATGCAAGCATGTAACAACAGAATAACTCACACGCGCGGCGCGAGCGCGTGCTCACGGATTGTACACCATGTCACGAGTCGCTAGCACGCAGGGTAGAGGTCTCAAGTGGAAGCAGTAAGTACGTACAGCTCCCGTTCACGGCACGATTTCTGGCGCGAGAAAGGGTCCTCCAAATTTTCCAAATTAATCTCGCCGCTTGTCTGGTGCCAACAAGCAACAAGCACGACCCACCCACACACACACACCACCTTCGCCGTCAACACCTCCACAACCAAGACACCATGGCAGACAGCACAAAGGGACAGGCTACTGGTCGCCGGGTGGCTGCTACCCCAGCCAGATACAGAGAGCAGGGCCATCTCGGCGCTGCTGTCGGCTCGGCGCTGCTGTCAGCGAAGGTTCGAGCGGGCGCGGAATGCTCCCAGGCATCTCTGGCGCATCGTCGGCGCTACACACCCCTGATCCATCTCCCCCGACGGCGAGGGCCGCCCCAGGGGCAAGGCCATCAGGTCCTCCGAAGATGTCGGAAACCCTGCTTGATATCATGGGGGACGAGGATGTCGGCGGCATTGGTGCCGGCGGCGTTGGTGTCGGCGGCGATGATGGTGCCGGTGGCGACAGCAGTAGTGACGACTCCTTCGACACGGAACGCCCTTCCAGNAGAGAGAACGTGTGGCGTATGACCAAAGTTTGTACAGCAGTACCACTTGTCATTTTTTGTGGTGGCGTTTTTTTACAGATGACTACAGTTGGCGCTCGCAGTTAAGAAACAAACGCTTATTTCATGTCCAGCGTCGAATTCTTATTGTGGGCTATAAACTCAGCGTATGTCGTTCAGTTTCTTTTTTCAAGTTTCTTATTTTTCCTGCTGAATTCCTTAAGTCGGCAATTTCTTCTCATTTCTCTGCTTGCATGTACCNTTCCTCGACCCCCGTACTCAACCCCGATTCTCACTACCGACGGCTGCACGTAAGGCCACTCCCTAGAAGCGAAATGTATCCAGCGGCAACGTCTCGCTATCGCTACAAGGTCCTGTACCCCCCTCATGAGTGAGGGCTGAAACTAAACAAATGCATGACACCGCATGATGCCTCACCCGCACGCTGACGTGCCCAACAACGAAAACTACCCCGTCATTATGATGCAAGCTCCGTGAGGCGAACATCGGGGGTTGTCACCCTTTTGCGCCCCCCGCTCCCTTCCTATCTTTGTGAGACATTTCTTGTTGTGTGACCCAGATTAACCCCTCTGGGACTGGGCTCCTCCCAGCCCGCAAGGCGAGCAGCCTGGAAATGCGGCGGGACTATTCGAAAAATAGGGGGTCCGCAGAGCAGAAACGTCGCTTCTCTCAACTGAAAAAGAGACTTCTTGTCTAGAAGTCGAACCTGAGCTAAACACGCACGGCGGCCGTGTCGCCGCCTTGCAACACGCTGGGTACGTCTGTCGGTACACTAGAAAGGTTCCTCGGCCCTCAAAACATCACCGCGATTGTGCGCTCCCTGCGTTTTTCACCATCTCGGGTTGTCCCGTGTAGTCTCAAAACCAGTAATACCAAAATGATCACAAAAAATGATCACTAAATGGGCATCGAAGTTCCCTGGGGCAATAGGTTACTTCTGTACTTCTCGAGAAATACATTGGCAGGCGTTCCGCCTGGGCGCGTTTACCGCTGCTCTTGGTTTCAAGTGTTTGTCTGCAAACACAAGCACACCAGCACACCACCATGTCTAGTATCCTCCCGGAGCCCGACGTTGCGGCCTACGATGATGGCAACGCCACGGCATGTCACGAGCAGCTCGTTCAGTTCCTGCAAGCAAACCCTCCCAGCGACGGAGACGACCTGCCGCGGGCACTCGCTTTTGAGATTGCCCACAAGGTGGGACTGCGGCACTGCACTCATGCATCGGAGCCGCACCCGCTGGGCGACATGAGTAAAGCTGCGCGCAAGAAAGCAGCGGCCGAGCACCCC